AAGTAATAAATTCGGCATGAAGAACTCCTATGGAAACCGAAAGTGCTTTTAGTTTATTAAATCTTACTGACTTCCTGTATAAATTTGATATTTGTCGAGTGTTTATTTAAAATATGCTGGAGTATTCAACAAAGTTAGCTGATCAGTAGATATGGTGGTGGTCACTAAGGTGAATCGCCCCATTCTGCAGGAACAGCAATATACAAATTAAAGGCTCGAGATATTTCTGATTTTTATGAGGGCTTAGATCATATCTTGAAAAAGATAATAATGAACGCCTAAACAGATCATGCTTCTACCTTTAAATATATACCATTCACTCAGCCTATTGTTGAGATGCGACCATGTGGGATCTGCACAGATTTATGGGGCATCTTATCAATTAACTTGCTATCCATTGTCAGATCTTTACATACCACTTCACAATGTCTTATCTCATTTATTTTCTAATAACGTCTTTACTCAATCCTCATTATATTCCATTAAACCTAACATTTTATAGCTTTTTATGAATTTGATTCGACTTATCCTATTCCTATTCTCTGTGAGGTACGGTTGTGCACCAAATGCACAAAAAGGCATAAAATAAAAAAAACCGGCATGAGGATAAATGTATTAAAACCAAAAGTGGACATCATGATAGTACGAGATATACGTGTAGCATTATACATTGCAAATGAACGTTGTCAGCCTAGGGAGTTTCCTTTATTAATGCATTTATTAGTGATACTTGCACTTACCCATTTCATTACACTTTATTGATTCACCTTAGCACTTTTACTTTTCTAAAAACAGCTTTAAATACCTTGTAAACGTTGTACTTACCTCAATATTGGTTGGTTATCGTATGCCTACAACCACGGGATGAAAACGAAACGAAGTCGATTTTCCCGCTCAACCTGGAGGACAATTGTACAATTCGATAACTATACAGCCTAGTTCAGACAATGTGTATTTATATATATATCAAATATTTAACTGTTGAAACATTATTAACTTGTAGACAATCTACGATTTGATATTATATCATACTTGATCGTGCCTGTAAAAATGGCATGCATTTTCATGTAAATTTATATGTTTATATGAGAATATACATTATTATTATAATTCGTAGACTTGTTGTCATTGGTATTGCCAAGAAACCACTAACTCGTTTTATGCAGCCGAAATATCCAATTCTGACTTTAATGAAGAAACAGTATGTTGCCTGCGAAAGCAGTGCATCAGTTTATGGGCTTGGTAAGGTCTACAGAATGTTTTCTATTCACTGAATACTGTTTGCGAATTATCGCAGAGAAAACATTTACAAGTCGGGTGTAACACAAGGCTGAGTTCTGAAACCGTCATCCTCATATCAGTTTAATTCAATCACACATATTAGTAGAATGGTCTGTAATTGACTTCAGAAACTTATCAGGGAATAGTCTCATCAACTTAGTTTGCTGATGATGTTGTCCACCTAGACTTTGAGAAGTTGACCCTGATTCTGTAAAATATGAAAAGAATACCGGTGTTTGATTATAGGTGTCTGTCCTATCTCATGAGTAAAGCAGTATAGTGTGGCGAGTAATGTTAAGGCTACGCACAAATGTTTAGGTGGGGAGGGTAAGTTAGTCTTCAAGGTAGGGAAGCTGAATAGGTTGAGATGACTAGAAAACGTGCTGGTATATCAATCCGTCGCCTTCCTCGAGGGACAAAGCTAGTCAGTGTATGTTAAGGTTTAAAATGTGTTTGGGTCGGTCAAATGAAAAAGTGATATTGGTTCATAAAATTGTTGACAGTCAGCTGGAAGAACTACCGAAGATGTGACTGCAAATCTTTGGTACTGGTACAGGTGCATTCACTCTGTTTAATCTCACGTATCTATTCAACTCATGTTTTTCGTTGTCACAATTTATTCTCCCTCACATTTTCGCTCGTTAAACTTCCATTTAGTTTCATGTCTCTACCTTCGTGTGCTACATGGAATGTGGTAAATTAAACAGCTGGACTTCTTTGCAAACTCATACTGAAAGCCAGTCAGAATGACACAGTCTAGGTATAACTAAACGCGAAACACTGAATAACGATCTCCAGAATGTCAACGAATGATAAGTGTGGTTCTGAATCTGGTTCTTTGCTAACCGAAAAATAGATCCCTTTTAAGCAATCTCTTCTCCAATCCGGGACTTGCCTCCCACTTTGCAAGTGGCTTTTATACTTTGTCACTTTTGTGCTAAGCTTTCGGTCATTCATCATTCGCCGTTGTTGTTGACTCAGGGCCTAGCTGACTTTAGTTAATTAAGGTTTAGGCTGTGCAAACACAAGTCCTCGGCAGTTGACCGGTTGCATTATCATTTCTCAAATAGAATGCAGCATACTGTATATTAGGGTAAATCTTCCGCCTTGCTTGTTGAAGCTGGTGTTCCTTAGGATATTATTATCTCTCCTTTTTTTCTCTCTCATCTTACATGACTTTTCTCTTTCTAATGAGGGCTATGTCGTCAAATACGCTGGTGATCTGACCGTCTCACTTCCTGTCATGTCACAGTGTGTCACCAGGAGGACTTTATTTTTCAGTTTATGCGTATATATACTATTGCACATCGAGTCGCACTGCGATTCAACATGTAGCAAAAGATTACGAATACCTTGCTCTTCTTTTCTGCATAAGAAATTTCTTTCACAAGATTCTCTATATTAAGCTCAGTAAGGACAAATATAAATTTTTCCACTTCGATATTGTGAGTTAATTTGTGAACTGTGTGGGCCTCTAAAGTAATGCATTTGGCATGCATGTTTCATAGTGAAATCAAGAGTGTGCATGTTATACCAAATCTTCTGCGCTTTCTGTATGGATTCGATATTGATCAGGTGGCTGAGCGTTGCATGCGATTAAGCTAAAATTATAACTGGTAATTCCAAGAATTTCTGTCGTTTTCACTGGCAGCGGTATACAGTCTGTTGAGTTTACAAAAGTACAATGCCAATTCCTCACTTTACTGAGGAGGCATTAACTAGGATTCTGGCAAAGTAACACGTCAGTATGTGAATTTTATGAATCTGTAGATTGCATTCCATTCACTTAATATTGAAACTAAACTATGAGGAAACTGATATTTTAAAGGTTATAATGCAAGGTTCATTTCTACAACTGTCGTCCTGATTTTAGTCCACTTTCACCATATATGTACTAGCGGAATTTTCAGTCACTCAATTTAGGGACTAACCAGGGAACAGTCTCGTCACCTTAGTCTATGCTGATGTTGTCCACTTAAGCTGTGAGAGGCGACCATTGAAACTGGAAGATATGAAAAGTCTACCGGTTTTTGATTACAGTATCTGCGCCCTTTCTTCCGTGTTAGGTAGTCTAGTATGGTGGGTAATATCGGGGTTAAGCTTAGTGTTAGGTAGAAATGTGACTCCAAACGTTCTTAATGTCATAGATGCATTCACTCTGTGTAATCTCACATATCTGAGCAACCCTTATATTTTTTATATCACTGTTCCTTTTCAACCACATTTATGCTCATTAAGGTTCCATTTAATTCTTTTTTTTCTACTTATGTGTGCTACATGGAATATATTAACTCGAACACGTGCACTTGTGTGCAAGCTTCTATGTTGGAAGTCATACAGAATGACATGTAATCTTGGTTTAACAAAATGCTAAAAATTGGATAATTATCATCGTAATATCAACAGATGATAATCGTATTTTTTCATTTGTTTGTTCTCTGGCTGAAAAAATGAGTTATCTTACAATAATTTCTCCTCTTACCCGAGATACTTTAACAATATATCTTGTTATATCTCATGAATTAGTTCATTTTATCCCCTAGCCCAAATGCGAAATCGAAACACATCTGATGAAATATGTTTTGCTTATTATCAACTAAAAATGATATTTTTCAAGTGTGGAATGTCACAAATCGAACTGCTGCACTTCTGTACTGAATTCTATGTCAAAACTCAGTCAGTTAGCTTTGTCACTGCAGCTGCCTGGGGTCACAAATCACTTTAGTATTAATTGGTATTAACAACCATTAATGCCGCTTCCTAAGTACTCTATGCACTTCCTAATTCCTTAAATTGTCCAGATAAAGTGCACCGAAGAAGAAAACATGAACTAAATTCAGTAACACGGACATAAGAAATAGTGTGAATACAAGTGAATGAGTTGAATGATTTTTTATGCCTGTAGTACGCTTACCTAAAATACTCATGTATTTGAATGAAGCAAAAGTTGTATGACTGACTTGATATGATTATGAGCAATAATTTGTGCTGGAAACGTCATCAGATAATATTGCTGTACAACACTGTGATTTATCAAAATAAAATCGTATCCATAATAGAGTTATACTCTACCACAGAATCGTTTGTGGGAACCTAAGTTGTTATTTAGATGTGCTTTTCACTTTATCTGTGGTTGGACAGGAATTATGGTAAGTTGAAAGGTTATCTCTAAGTGGATTTCATATATATTGGCACTGTTTGGTGCAGTGTGCTATGGGTTATGTGAATTAAATGTACAAAAATATCTCAACTCTATTAACATTGCGCCATTGTGTGCTTAGCTGACTGATAGGATAACAAACGAAGGTAGTTAACCACCTTCCTAATCGTGACAATTGTCACGATTATTGCAAGTACAATGCAGTGTAGAAGGCAATTACTCGTTTAAATATCTGTGCTGTTCTAATTAATGCACCAAATCATTACACGGTATGATTACACGCATGAGTCACGGTGATTATGAGAACTGAATCTAGACTTGGTATTGGATATTGAAGAATAACCCTCAAGGTTATTTGGCAGTTCAAATGTATCGCAACAATATCCATTTCTACTGTACGAATGGAAGAATCTCTCTCTGGATCTTCACCAATCGATCTGTTTCCAGAAGCTATCCCATTGAAATTTCCGGATACCTCTGTTGGCCGTCAGCACAGAAAGCTCTCTGTAAGGGAGATAAAAATTCAACGGTCTGAAGATTGCAATACATATGCTGCTCTAACGAGACATTCAAGAGCTAAGGTTTGGTGTTTTTGAGCCTAATAAATCTCGTGTCATTCGTTGTATACTTGTTTGACAGCTATGTTCTGCTTTTATCAGTACTTATGGAAAATTTAATAGTACTTCAGCAGTCTTAAGCCTATAAACAATTGTTTTAGTCATTGATATAAGATATAAGACGAAGTTAAACTATAGGAGATACAGCGAGGTGTAGTTTTTTGCGATCAACAATGAATATGCTGCTACTTATACACAAGTATATATCTAAGGTCTGCTTACAGTAAGTGTGCATTTTTTAGGTAGTTGATAACATCTAAGTGTACACACTCACTTTGAAGTTTAAGGATTGCTCACACGAAATGGCAGGTTTTCGAGGATGAAATGGAGATGAGAGATTATGGATTATTGTAAACCCAGATGAAGAGGACAGTACCAAATAGAACAAAGTGGAGATATGTTGTTGAATCCCTATATTCCACTGTGAACTCAAGGGAATAATAATAAATAATACACGAAGTGGGGATTCCTACTGAAAACCTGGGATGTGCAACTTTCAAATGCGTCACCTAGTTAACTATATAAATGACGTCAAGAAATCAAGCAAGAATGCAACATGGCAAATATTCCAGGGTGAAATAAGTAATTCGAAACCGCACAAATAAATCAGTAGTGCCCTCTAATAAATCTGTCACTATCATATTAAGTAACTGGAGGTCATTTCGACACATTAACTAAACTTTCCCTCTTACTAAGAATTTTGTTCGCTTAGTGGAACAGAAGTATTATAAATAATAGGAATCTTTAAAATGTCCAAGAAGTTCATAAGATTCTGAACAGTCTGACGCACTCATTTAATACTCTATTTTTGAATATCAATCAGGCCTTATGGAGGACTGCTTTCAGTTTAATTTCATCTTGTGGTGACCCTTGGGAAAAATTCCATCTACAAGAACTTCAGGAAGAAATAGCAAAACGTTATCGTTATAGTGCTATCCAGGGCAAATGGATAGAAGACATTGTACATGTTAAAATTGAGAATTCTCCATTCAATCGTGGTGCTATGAGAGAATGTTTTCGTGTGTAAGTTGACCATTACTTTTAATTTTTACAAATTATATTCTGTCGTGATATGGACAAAATATGAACAAATATTGATCATTGCGCTGTTTCCACTTTTGCGAATGACTACAAGTATTGTAGTGATTTTCCCGGTTCTTGTGGTACACTAATCAAAATGACCGCTTCCCCGTCTCAAATATTTAAAGTTAATACGGTTTGCGAAGTGTGTATTTTGCCGTAATCCCTTCAGTTGTCTTTTCATCTACAAATCTACTGTATTTAACCAATTAATCATCAGCCAGAAGTTATTCAGTCCAAGTTGTTGCATCATGCAGCAATTTAAAAAGAGAAAGTAAGTAAAAACAAAGTTTTTTATAAAAAGAGATAGTTAAATGTAGGCCAGTAAATATACCCAGAATCTTGATGGTGAAGAGGAATTACATCTGCCTTATTGTGATTTCTTCTGAATCATAGGTGTAGATTTCCAGTTAGGTTGTCATTATGTACTGACTGAGACAGTGAATCCTATTTATCGCCATGTGTAATAAAGCATCAACCCAGGTTTCTGTTCCAAGCTTCTCGTCTGTTGATGCTTAACGCGTGGACCTCATGTAGGTGGGCTGCGTTTTTCTCATATCATTTGGAATTACAATTAAATATTTCAGGAATCAGTCTAAACACAGTGTACTTCCTATATAAGCATTCAAGAAAGTATATCAAAATGAATAACACATCCCAGACACTTTAATACTGTAGATAAATGACAGCTATTTCTTCCTAATCTAACCTTAGTATTGTTCACTCCATAGATTTGCGATATCATATTCTTTTGCATTCTAGATAATTTGTTTGCACGTATACGATCTGTACATAGCATTATTTACATGTCAAGCTAAATATTTTAAAATGCATTCATTAATCATAAGTCATGGGTAATATTGCATGTAGGCTGTGTATCTTAGTCAATATGCAAGGGTTCATTACAATAAAGGTTTTTGTATTTCCCAATGAATGAAAAACAAAACGATATTGTTTTTTACTGACGTTTCGCTATTTAATGCTAATAGCTTTATCAAAGTATATTAAACGGGAATTTACAAAATCTCAGCATATATATAACAAAGAGTTAGGAGGTAAGAAAATAGACCTAGGTCAAGTTAAAAGGACATATTGAAAGTCAAAATAACAATGAAGATCACTAAACCAAATATCAAAGGTAATAGTACATCTGTTATGATATCAAAACAAAGTTGGTCATCGTTCGTCAGTCTCAAGTAATTTTTCGTTGTCAAGTTGGTCAATCGGTAAAGATAACAAAATCCAGTGTATATGTATGAGTATAATGAAAATCAAGTGCAGATTGTTGGATTTGATCAGTGTGTAACATTATAAAAGTAGTGTCTGTTTGCATAAAGAACTTGCTCACCACATTCGTGTTGATTTTGTCACTTCATGGGGGAGGGAGGTGTTGTAACCATGTCGGATTCTGTTTTAGTCCATCACTCCTGTTCAGACAATTTGGATTCCACTTGATATGAAGTTCTTCTGATATTAGACGTTCTTTGTGACTTCTGAAGTTTTTCTGGATTATTTCAATATTTTCAAAATCAATTTTGTGGCCTGATTCTATAGCATGTAGACCTGTGGCTGATGATTTTTGAAGTTTTTCTAGTTCAACTGGTTTTCTCGGTGATCGAACAAATGCTCTACGGTGTTCTTTTCTTCTGATTTTGATTTCTCGATATGTTTGTCCGATGTATATCACATCACATTCTAAGCATTTTATTTTATAAACACAATTAGAGAATCTTTAGGGATTTGGTCTTTTATATGGACAAGGTTGTTTTGAAGTGTGTCTGATGTTTTGAAGAAAACTCTAATGTCGAGCCGATTGAGTAGTCTTCTGGTATCGTCTGACGTCTCTGATCCATATGGAATGCTGACTGTTGATGTCCATGCTTTCGGAATGCGTTTTCGGCCATACTTAATATCTGTGTTGATTTTGTTGATGTTCTTTGGGTAGTTGTTTTGCTTGAGAGTTTCAGTAGTGTTTGATATTACTTCTTTTTCTTTCTCATCCGTTATCAGAGTGTACCCGTCTAAGAAGACTTGAAACAACTGAGATATATAATATACTTTGATAAAGCTATTAGCATTAAATAGCGAAACGTCAGTAAAAAACAATATCGTTTTGTTTTTCATTCATTGGGAAATACAAAAACCTTTATTATAATAAATATCGTGTACCCGATGCCCAAAGGGCTTTATCCATGCGCGCACGTGAACATGTCTGTCTGTCTGTCTGTTTTCGACATAGAACTTTGCACAAATGTGCGGAAGTTCAAGTCGCCACATTCCGTGTAGCACGCGAAGCAAGAGAAGAAAGTACAAGAAAAGCATAATAGAAACAGTGAGCAGAGGTGTGAGACAAAGGAGTAATAAAGAAATACAAAACAGTTTCATTGAAGATCATAAGTCACAGGGAGTGGATGCATCTGCGCCACTGAGAACGATTTTGAGCCATGTCACCAATTGTTTCCAACCATAGATTTTTACCGTCCCGAGGACCCCAGCCTGGAAGTCTACACCTTCCTACGTGGCTTAGACCAACTGTTGTGGATTTCATTGACTGATGCCAAGTTTTTGTTTGACCGCCGCTAGCTTTTTTCCAGCCTGACCCTATATCCGCTAACATTGCTCGTCGAGGGAGGCGATGACTTGGCATACGTAACACATGTCCTAACCATCTCAGTCGATGTAGCTTCACGACTTCGTCGATTGATTTCCCCTGTTTACCTAGAACTCTACGCCTAACCTCCATGTTGCTCACCTTATTATGCCACTTTACACGGGAAATAGAACGCAGGCACCTATGATCAAAGACAGCTAGTCTTTTCATGTCTTCCACTCTCAGTGGCCAGGTCTCACAACCATAAAGGAGGACGGAGCGGACTGATGAGCAGTACACCCGCCCTTTGGTCGATAGTCGAACATCTCGTCTACGCCAGAGTCGGCGTAAACTAACAAATGCGAAACGAGCCCCTTGTATTCGTGCTGAGATTTCGTCAGAGATCAGCCCGTTGGGGCTGATGGTACTTCCCAAATAAGTGAAGCGGTCAACGTGCTCTACCACTTCACTTCCTATTTTTAAACTAGGCGTCGATGTAGTCCAGTCCTGTAACATCATCTTGCATTTGGCGGGAGCGAATCGCATGCCAAACATTCGTAGATTGCGGCTCAAGGTGTTTAGAAGACTCTGCATTTCGTCAGCGTCTTCGCCTAGAAGGACTATATCGTCTGCATATTCCAAGTCAACGAGATTATTCCCAGGTAGCAAGTCAATCCCTGAGTCGCTGAAGTCACCTAGGGTTAAGTCCATTAACACATCTATGATGAAGTTGAATAGAAAAGGAGATAATGGGCATCCTTGACGGACACCACTGGTCGTCATCAGTTCAGATGACAGCTCGCCGTAAGCCCTCACCTGGCTGTATGAGTACGAATAGAGTGCCTTAATCAGTGCAATATATTTTCTTGGAATTCCCTTTACAGCCAAGCATCTCCAGAGAACTTCCCGATCGACAGAGTCGAATGCTGCCTTTAGGTCAAGAAATATAATGACTGTTGGACGCCGGTAGGAATGCCTATGTTCTAGAATCTGTCGGAGGGTGAAGATATGATCAATACACCCTCTTCCTGGTCTAAAGCCTGCCTGGCTCTCTCGTGTTTGTGCTTCCCGAGCACCACTCAGTCTACGCATGATTATTGAGCCTAAGACTTTAGATACTATATTAGTCAAGCTAATCCCTCTGTGATTATCACAGGAAGACTTGTCTCCCTTCTTGTATATGGGGATAATCAGTGACTTACACCAACCCGATGGGACTTCTTCTGATTCCCAAACGCTGCCTAGTACCTCAGTTAATCCGGACAGTAAGCTGTCTCCACCGTACTTAAATACCTCTGGAGTCATTCCATCAGGTCCCGCTGCTTTGCCTAGTTTCAGATTGGTGACAGCTTTAGTAACCTCAGTTAGTGACGGAGGACCTGTATCTATATCCCATTCAGGGAGGTGTTGGATGCTCGGAAGGTTGAGCGTGGCTGTGGGCAAATTAAACTGCTCCTCATAATGCTCTTTCCAACGATCCAGTCGTCTATCCTGGGAGCTAATTATAGTGCCATTTTTTTCCGAGATTGTCTCACTAATGATTTGTCTTCTCCCACCCGTTTCCCTGATGAGTCCAAAGAGTTGCCTGGTGTTGCCTATCCTCAAAGCTTTCTCCATCTCTTTGGCTTTTGTCGCCCACCACTGTTCACGGTCCTTGCGGAGACTTTTCGTAAGTTTCCTCTTGTGCAGCTTTCGCTCCTCATTGAATTCGGAGCTCGCCGGAATAAGTCTTCTAGCATCTATCAGTTCGGATGAGGCGGTGGAGATCCAGTGGTTTTTACTCACCTTTGGGTTTACCTTATTCACAGCTTTTACAGCTGTATCTATGGCTGCCTGGATATTTTTCCAAGCTTCTTCAGGGTGAGCACAGCTGTCGAACACAGATATGTGTTTAGCTAGTTCTTCCTGAAATACGGATTTAGTTTCCTGATCGAGCTGGGGACGTGATGGTTTTACCGCCAGCTGTTTCCTACGTCCGTTCAGTCGTAAGCACACCCGAGCGCGGACCAGTGCATGGTCGGTATCTACGCACGTGTTCCAGAAGGAGCGACAATCTCCTACCGACCCACGCCAACGATAGCTTATTGCTATGTGGTCTATTTGTGTCCAGCGTTGGTTTGATGAAGGGGGTCTCCAAGTCAAACAGTGTCTCTCCTTGTGTTTGAAGTTAGTGCTTACAAGAAACAAATGATTATCAGAGCAGAACTGTAGGAGACGGTCACCGTTGTCGGTTCGCTGGCACGGAACTCCATAGGTGCCACCGACATCCTTCTCAGATTGACACAATTTCCCTACTTGAGCGTTAAAGTCACCAGCTAGAACGACTATGTCTGAGCGTTTAGCCTTTCTCACCAAACTAGACAGCTTTTGGTAGAACTCATCCTTCGTTTCATCTGAACTGCAGTCAGTGGGGGCGTAGGCGGAGATTACGAAAAGGCATCGGCGAGTAGTGCAGTCCTTCCTCCTTCTTACTGATCCGTTCAGGCGGACAGCACACATTCGGCTATCTACCGGGATCCAGTCAAGCAATGTCTTTTCTGCCCTAGTACTCAAAGCTATCCCTACGCCAGCTAATCCTCGTGAACTAGCTGTGGCATCTCCTGACACCCTCAGGGTGAATTTTGCAGATTCAACCTGTTGGCCAGGTGGGGTTAGGTGAATAACCACACTTGGGTCTTGTATGCGTGTTTCTGAAACACAGCATACATCAATGGCTCGTGATGCCAGGGTCTTGGCTAGTGATGCTTGTTGTCCTATTTGGCAAAGTGTCCTAACATTAAGAGCTCCTATATGAAATTGGTGGCGCGGCTTTAAGAGGCTGTCGGTGGTGGTTTTTTGGCTTCCATCGTTTTTAGTGGACGCAGAGTGGAGAGGAAGTGGAGAGCTATCAAGTCGAGGAGTTGCATCAGTGGAAGGAAGGCAAGATGATAGAGATGAAGATGAAGACAAAGATGAGTGAGTAATAGAGAGGTTTCGTGTGCATTTCGGATTGAACATGTACCTGTATGGTTGAGTAAAGGAGTAATCAAAGGCATAAATAGTGCAGTCTTAGCCCACTTGGTAGATACTGGACACCCGATAAAACTTGACCAAGCGTTCTCAGTTATTTACCGCGTTCCTAGTAATTTATCTAGAGGAGCTCGACTACGTCTTCTATCAGTAGCTGAAGCAGTTGCATTTAATACCAGAAGACCATCCCTCTGCATACAGAAGAAGTATGTTCAACTTCTATGTTTACCTTGGCCTACAATAAAGCCAACAAATCCTCCATTAACACTATAAATTCCTTTCACAATTTTCTTTTCTTTTCCTTCTTCTATTCCTCTGTTTCATTGACAAACGTTCATTTTCGACTTTTATGATTTCATGACCTTTCTTATGATTTTATTACCTTAGGTTTAAATAGTGCTTTTCTAACTTGCTATCGTATTTACAAAATCCTGTTCATTCCACTTCATTATATTCATTATTATTATTTGACAATCATTCACCAATAGTACATCTAATTTTAATTTTACACCATATCATCGTTATTATTTTACAATCATTCTTATTGTTGTTATTTTCAACCTTGAACTTAAGTCTAGACCGCCCCATTAGTTGGTTTATTTTCATATTGCCTCACACACCCTGATTACACTCACTCTTGAAACCTGTATTTTCTGTTAACTATATTTATATATATATACACACATCATTAAATTATTTCATCTCATTCTGTCCCATGTTGTTATTGACCATGCATATTAAAAAACTATATGACTATTGTTTCATCCCATCTTATACTTGTTCCACAATACACTTTCTGATATGATTCTAATTCGCCTTTACTGGCTATTGTATGCTTACATTAATGGATTCATAATTGTTGAGCCTGAAGAAGAATTTATTGAAAACAATTGTTCGCTCTAAATATTTTGTTCTGAAAGTTATATTTGTAAAATCTCAGCGAAATTGAAATGATTAATTCCAACATGTTGCTCATTGGTAAATTCATGTGAATGCAAGTGGTTGTACAGTTACTTTGTGCTCAAAACATTTCGACTGCTTTTTAAATTTATTATGAACTATCTTGATTTTATGTTTACAGATGTTGAACTTTTATTTAACTAAATTTGTGACAGTCTGGTGAGATATTTACATTGTCCACATTATTACGTTGGTTCACACATTTATAACGTAGTTAAAGATCGTACTTATAGTACGGTCAGAGTTTGGCTGGTCAGAGTTATCGTTTAGTACTTACCAAGCTACTCTATTAATTATACGAGAAAATTATGACTACTTAACAAGGAATAAGTGTACCACACAGCAGCCTACTCTGTCTTTCTTTATGACTTATTTGTAGTCGTTGGAAGTGCAGGATACCAGATAATATTAGTAATTATTAGATAGTTGAAGGCAGTTGTCAGCAAGGTGTATCTACAATCTTAAAGGAACTCATGTCTCCATCTATCATGGTGGCCACAGTGCTAACGTGAGTGACAGAATTCAGTCTGCAGCAAACAAAGTATAGATTCATGATACAAATGACTTACTACCTAGTGCTCGACCCAAAGCATGTAATATATAATAATACAGGAGGTAAATCGAGAGCTGGAATGGCTCAGTATTAACGTCTCTGATTGTAACACTGGTTTACACGGGTTGGGATCTCAGAAGGGAAATGAGTCCCTTCAAGGTTGCAGATAGGTCTTGCTGACAAGTACCGACTAGCACGAAGCCTAGGTCTAAGGCCTCCTGCCGATCGCCCTCAGCCATCTAATAACAACAATTCTGAGTGACACCGTGATGGCTAGCCACGTAGTATGATGGCCCCACTGCAAAGTTGACTGATAGAATTCAGTCAGACACTAGTTAGTGTCTAATTAGAGTAATATTAACAGTGCATGTTGGAATCATTGGGTAGGAGTTTTCGACTTTCGGTGTAGATTTCCAGGTAGGTTGTCATTATGTACTGACTGAGACAGTGAATCCTATTTATCGCCATGTGTAATAAAGCATCAACCCAGGTTTCTGTTCCACTCCAGAATATTAAGAAAAGAGAAAGTGGTTTATTACGGATGAAAAACTACCGCTGACACAGAGATGCAGTTCAGTTTCTAGAGTGAGACTGCTCTGATAGTTACTGGTCCTCGACGAGCAATGTTAGCGGATATAGGGTCAGGCTGGAAAAAAGCTAGCGGAGGTCAAACAAAAACATGACACCAGTCAATGAAATCTACAACAGTTAGTCTGCTCACTGTTTCTATTATGCTTTTCTTGTACTTTCTTCTCTTGCTTCGCGTGCTACACGGAATGTGGCGACTTGAACTTCCACACATTTGTGCAAAGTTCTATGTCGAAAACAGACAGACAACAGTTAGTCTAAGCCACGTGGGAAGGTGTAGACTTCCTGACTGGTTGGGGTCCTCGCGACGGTTGGAAACAATTGGTGACATGGCTCAAAATCGTTCTGAATAGCTGACTGGTGCAGATGCATCCACTCCTTGTGACTTATGATTTCCAATGAAACTGTTTTGTTCTTCGTTACTACTATTCCTTTGCCTCACACCTCTGCTAACTGTCTCTAATATGCTTTTCTTGTACTTTCTTCTCTTGCTTTGTGTGCTACAAGGAGGGAGTGTGGCGACTTGAACTGTCGCACATCGGTGCAAAGTTCTATTTTTTTTTTTGATTTACAGCTTGATTCCACACTGTATTTTTGGTACAAGTATGGAATTTTCAGCATGGATATCGGTAGCCCAAATTTTGCAGGCCAACCATAGATATCAGGTGTGCGCCGGTGTGGGCTCGAACCCCGGACCATGTGCATGGTCGGCGAGAGTCCTAACCACTGTGCCACCGACGCACTATGTTGAAAACAGACAGAGACAGACAGATGAAGTATGATAATTTGAGCTCCTGTACTTTTGTGCCAATTTATAGGTTGAAAACTCAGTCAGCAAGTTGCTAATACTCTGTAAATTTACAAACTAAGTCATGAAAAAAAATATGTGAAATTAAATCTTGATTTTGCTTGGAAAGCAAAGATTTCAGTTTCCATACTTTGATTATTCAACTGACTAATGTGAATTATGTGTAACCACAGATATGTATGTTTGTAGTGTACATTCTACCTATCGAATACCTCAAACAAGAAAATAAGCCCCAGCATTTAAGAATTACCTAATCCAATGTGAAATTCTATTCTGTTATTAACTAGTTGAAAATTCTGTTTTCTTTCTTTCCTTTTTTATTATATCTCTTCTGAACTTTCATCTTTTTGTCAATATTCATTGTCACGGTTTATGATCATTTCAGCTTATACACTTTTGTGAAATTATCAACCTTTATGTATCACTAAGTTGATTATTATTTACCAGTGTAAACAAAATATTGTTGAAAGGTGTGTTATACCTTCATATCTTGTTTTTATAGAAAAAAGTTGTCTAACTTTTCACATAGTTCTGATTGGTCACATGCTTCAAATCATGTTGCTAAACAATACATTGAAAAAGTTGATCGTCATGTGTATTTTGATGATGTACGCTTACAAATGGATGCTAAACTTTGGGGTGAAGAATACAGTCGTCAGTTAGCAGTGCCTAAAAAGGTATGAATTTATTCTTCAGTGTCCTCCAGTCGATGTCATTGTCATATTTTATCTGTTTATTTGCTAAGTGTATTTATTTCATATACTAGTTACATTTAACTCATTGTTGTCTATAACTTAATTATGCGGAACAGATATCTCATGTATTATAGGTCAGTGTACTATACTTGTTGTGTAGAGGGTTGATGATACTAGTAAGTTACCAAGATTAAAGCCGGTGGGAGAGGATTTGAATTCGGTGGCCGTTAGCTGAAGGCCGATTGTTTCAGCCGATAAGTTATATTTCCACATTTTGTTTGTGATAAATCCACTTCTAGAGGTAGACTGACTGACTGATTGACGAGTGTCAGCGTAGAACTTTTTTGCACAAAAGTGCAGCAGTTGGAGTTGCTAAACTCCATGTAGCACAGAAAGAAAGGCAAGACGGAAAAAGAGGAGGTTCTTAATAAGGCGAATAGGCAGAAATGTGAAGGAGAAAGAATAGTAACATGGAAAAATAATAGGATTTAATGGATACAGCATCTTCGTTATTGAGGACGATTTCGAGCTATATCACCAATTGTCCCTAGCCGTGATTGGTTCTTACCATCTCGAGGACTCAAACTAATCTAGCAGTCTACACCAACCTGCGTGGCTTAAACTAACTATTGTGGATTTCATTGACTGATGAAGCCATGTTTTCGTCTTACCACCACTAGCTTCCTCTTTTCTAACCTGATCAATCCTATGTCAGATAACATTGAGGAAGGAGACGGCTAGTCATGCGTAACACATGCCCTACCTATCTCAATCGGTGTAGCTTTACAACCTCGTCGATTGACTTTCCCTCCCTCCCTGCCTAACACTCGACCGAAGCATAACCTCAATATTACTCAGTGTATTATACAATATAACACGTGGGCTAGAGCGCTGGCATCCATGGTCACCTAGCTTTTCTCTTATTTTCAACTTTCGGTGAGCATGTCTCCCAGGCATAAAGGAGGACTGAGCGAACTGGTGATTAGTATGCACATGAAAAGATTAGCTGTCTTTGATCATAGGCGCCTGCGCTCTATCTCCCGTGTGAAGTGGTATAATAAGGTGAGCAATATTGAGCTTAGGCTTCGGTCGAGTGCTAGGTAGGTGGGAGGGGAAATCAATCGACGAGGCTGTGAAGCTACATCGACTGAGATGGTTAGAACATGTGTTACGTATGCCTAGTCATCGCCTTCCTCGACAACGGGCAATGTTAGCTGACATAGGGTCAGGTTGGAAAAGAGTTAACTAGTGGTGGTCAAACCGAAACATGACACCAGTCAATGAAATCCATAACAGTTAATCGTAGCCACGTAGGAAGGTGTAGACTTCCTGGTTAGGGTCCTCGCGACGGTTGGAAACAATTGGTGATATGGCTCAAAATTGTTCTGAATAGCTGACTGGTGCAGATGCATCCACTCCTTGTGACTTATGATTTCCAATGAAACTGTTTTGTTCTTCGTTAATACTCTTCCTTTGTCTCATACCTCTGTTTACTGTCTCTGTTATGTATTTCTTGTACTTTCTTCTCTTGCTTTGTGTGCTACAAGGAGGGAGTGTGGCGACTTGAACTGTCGCACATCGGTGCAAAGTTCCATGTCAAAAACAAACAGACAGACAGTATACACATCCTTTGATCGATAGCCAAGTGCATAAAGATAGCGTATGTTTGAGGAATGCCACACGAGCCTTCTCTATCTGTGCTGAAATTTCATCAACAATCAGCCTGTTGAGATTTTCATAGATTCAGCCTACTTAAGATAGAAATGAAAGGAAACAACTGGTGCAAAATAGTTCATGAATATTTTAACCAATCGATTCGTTTCAAGATCTCGAAATCCTCACATCACTTACATCTAGCATAAAAATCTGATAATGGTGTGTAAGTATGATAATTGCATTACTGTTTCACTGTGAAGTCTTCCTATCGTAAATGAGTTGCTTTTGTGGAATAGGTATACCGTTTCTGGTAACTTGTGCTAATGTCTTGAGTTCGGTTTGTTTTACTCCAAACTTATCCTTTGGATAATGAAAATAGCAATTATCAGAGGCGCAGTGTGTATCGCTTTGAAGTCTGTGGTTTCCTTGTACATCTGGACTCCTGGATCTGTAGATGTTATTTTCATTGCTTGATGATTCTATCTTATGTATGCAACTGTTCAGATTAAGGTATTTTCTCACCAGTTAAACTTTATTAACAAGTAGTTCCTATGTTTACATACTGTTAATCATTTCAGATACTTTCCTTATTTAGTATCTATGGTCCACATTCTAAAGATAGACAAAGCATAACTGTGCCTGTTTACTGCAACTCCCTAAAAATTTTATGAGTAACATAAAGTGACCGAATCCAGATATTTTTTTGTTCGTACTTATAGGTTTCCAGTGACCAGACTACTATAAGTTTATACATTTTATACATGGTATGGAATGAATAATAAGTTGTAGTGCAAAATTTAAGTACTACTGTAAATGTATTTTGAAGTGACACTTCATTCTTAAGAGGTGATTCATTAAGGTAAACTGTTCACTTCCATCGATATAAGGATAAAACTTGAACACTGTGGTAGAGTATAACTCCATTTTGGACAAAATTTATTTCGATAAAATTACACAGTGTTATACAGTAATATTTACTGATGACGTTTCGAGCACAATTTATTACAGGTCATAATCACATCAAGGTAGTCAGTCACACCTTGATTTTATCAAAATAAAATTGTACCCGTAATTGAGTTTCACTTCCATCCTTTGAGTCTTCGGTTTAACCACAACTCTCCACATCTCCTTTGGCCTGAATAGCTTGATGGTATCATAAGGGGTATTACGCATTCAGTGTGGCTTGAAGCCTAGTGCATAAACTTATATCGGGTCAGTGAGTTCCTTTAGCATATATTGTGTTGAGAAGAGTACATTTCGTCATCCTGATTATCAGTTTTCTTTTATTCCTTCACATTTCCCGGTGGAACATAGGGAGGGCTTCAAGCTAGAGGCTTGAAATTTCTGTAGCAGTGTTTATTTCTACAGAATAAGGCTGCTGGCCTCATGCCCAACATTTCCTCTTTATCAGATTTATTTCTTGCTTAGCAAAACAAAGGAGTGTGTCGGCCGGGGATCGAACCCCGAATCATGTGCATGGTCAGGAAGCGTCCTAACCGATGTGCCACCAACACACACACACACACATATATATATATATATATATATTCATATGTTACTACTATTATTCTCATTTTGGATTGGCTCCGGTATTATTTCATTTGTCCCACTTGTCATTCTAAATCAATTTTGTTTTGCAACGTTAAATTCTATGTTAGCAAGTTTCACACAATGTTACATGATGTTTTTTATTTTTATTCTCTTTGCTTACTAATCCTACAATTTCACACTGCTTCCAAGTTCTTTACATCCTCTGAATTATTCTGTATATGACATTAATTGTTTTGCCACTTGATATTTAACCATGATTATAATCACAAACACTTTAGTTTTAATTGCATTTCATACTATTATTAGTTTATACATTCACACCTACGATTCAAATCCCTCACCGGATATAATTTCATAAAACCATATGTACACGATTGTACAGCTTGATAATAAATCGGTTGAAAAGAGTCTCTTAGCTGAATCACTTGATTTGATGTCCCAGTGAGAATTTTCCACAAAACATCAAAACATTAGCGCATGTTACCAGAAACGGTATACCTATTCCACAAAAGCAACTCATTTACGATAGGAAGACTTCACAGTGAAACAGTAATGCAATTATCATACTTACACACCATTATCAGATTTTTATGCTAGATGTAAGTGATGTGAGGATTTCGAGATCTTGAAACGAATCGATTGGTTAAAATATTCATGAACTATTTTGCACCAGTTGTTTCCTTTCATTTCTATCTTATTATTATTATTATTATTGTATCCTTTAGTTCCTAGAGGAACATAGGGCTTCAGCTGCGCACCTCCATTGACTTCGGTTTTCTGACAACTTTTTCAACCTGCTCCAGGTCTGTCCACATGCTTTCATCTCCTCCTCGCATGACCTCCTCCAAGTCACCCTTGCACTGACGACCAACTCGCCGCCTCCCTTTCGGGTTCCACTCGAGGGCTTGTCTAGTGATGTCACTTGATGGTTTCCTCAGCGTATGGCCAATCCATCTCCATTTCTTTCTGCCTATTTGTTTCACAATCGGTTCCTGATTGGTTCGCTCCCAGAGATCCCTGTTGCTGATCTTTTCTGGCCATCTGATCTTGAGTATTGAGCGGAGACAGTTGTTAATGAAGGTTTGAAGTTTGTTTGAGATGCTCTTTATGACTCGCCAAGTCTCTGATCCGTATAGTAGCACTGACTTCACATTGGAGTTGAAAATCCGGATCTTATTTTTGATGCTGATTGCTGTTGACCTCCACACAGATTTGAGAGTAATGAAAGCTTGTCTTGCTTTTCCGATTCTGGCTTTGATGTCCTCGTCAGTTCCGCCTGTAGTTGAGACGATGCTTCCCAGGTAGGTGAAGGAGGTTGTTTCTTTCAGGTTCTTCCCATTTATGCTTATTGTGGTCTGTTGGTGTTGTTGATGTTGGCTAGGAATCTTCATTATCTCTGTTTTATCTATGTTCACGTGAAGTCCTATCTTTGATGCTTCTTCTGCCAACTTGTTACTTTTCACTTGCATATCTTCCAGTTTATGGGAAATCAGACATATATCATCGGCGAAATCCAGATCCTCCAAGTCTTTTGTGTCAGTCCATTTTATGCCTGTTCCCTCGTTGGTTGCCGTTGTCTGTCGCATTATCCAATCAATTGCAATCAGGAAGATCATTGGTGATAGTAGACAGCCTTGCCTCACTCCCGTCCTCACTTCGAAGGCTTCCGTAAGTTTCCCGTTGTGGATTACTTGGCATGCAGCATTGTCGTATAACTGTTGGATGAGGTGTATAATTGTCGATGGGACCCCGTAGTAGCGAAGTAGTTTCCAAAT